TCTTCATAATAGAAAATACACATTCAAAACTCAATAATTATGTAATTGTATTTGTAAAAATTCGCTTAATTAATTAAACCTCATGTGAATATGTGAATTTTCTTTTCTTAGTAAATTAAAATTCTGTGTTGTTACAAGCTAACCCATATATAGATATCATGCTCGCTTGATCATCAATTTAATCTAGAATTCAAAAGTAAAATTTGAATTGTTATTTTTGTATCAATAAAAAAAATTTAAAAATGGTAAATTTGAACGTATAATTCTCCATAAAACTCGAAACTGATTGGATCGCCCCTGTTTTCTTTAATAGCTAAATATGTTGTGGTTGTGGAACTCCAAGTTTATTTAGTACTTGAATTTTGGCATCTTATTTGGTAATATGTTTAATAATTGAACCTTGACCTACCAGGCCTTAGGGACGTGGAGTTTGATTTATTTTGTTCTCGAATTGGTGGTGTTCTTTTCTGTGTATATATACGTGTGAAGAATTATTGTGCAACAATACAACCAAAATGTCCCAGGTGTGTGAAAGTGAAACTCCTGAAGATCAGGTGGTCGAAATCCTATCCAAGTTGCCGCCCAAGTCTCTGATGAGATTCAAATGTATACGCAAGTCTTGGTGCACTATCATCAATAGTTCAAGTTTTGTGACCAAACACCTCAGTAATTCCATAGACAACAAACTCTCATCCTCCAGTTGTATCCTTCTTAACCGTTGTCAGGTTCATGTTTTCCCGGATAGGAGTTGGAAACAAGACGTTTTCTGGTCCATGATTAATCTTTCCATTGATAGTGATAAGAATAACCTTCATTACGATGTTGAGGACCTAAATATACCATTTCCAATTGAAGATCAAGACAATGTAGAGCTTCACGGTTATTGCAATGGGATTGTCTGTGTAATAGTAGGGAAAAATGTTCTTTTATGCAATCCTGCAACGGAAGAATTCAGGCAACTTCCCGATTCATCCCTTCTTCTACCCCTTCCCAAGGGAAGATTCGGATTGGAAACGGTCTTTAAGGGATTGGGATTTGGCTATGATTGCAAAGCTAAAGAATACAAGGTCGTGCGAATTATAGAAAATTGTGATTGTGAGTATTCAGAAGGTGAAGAATCATATTATGAGCGTATTCTTCTTCCTCACACGGCTGAGGTATACACCATGACTACTAACTCTTGGAAAGAGATAAAGATTGATGTAACAAGTGATACTGATCCGTATTGCATTCCTTATTCTTGTTCAGTGTATTTGAAGGGATTTTGTTATTGGTTTGCAATGGATAACGGGGAATACATATTTTCATTTGATTTAGGTGATGAGATATTTCATATAATAGAATTGCCTTCTAGGAGAGAATTTGATTTTAAGTTTTATGGCATATTTTTGTATAATGAATCCATCACTTCTTATTGCTCTCGTTACGAAGAGGATTGTAAATTATTTGAAATATGGGTAATGGACGACTATGATGGAGTTAAGAGTTCATGGACAAAATTGCTGACTGTTGGACCCTTTAAAGACATTGATTATCCATTGACACTTGGGAAATGTGACGAGGTTCTTATGCTTGGCTCGTATGGAAGAGCGGCCTTTTGTCATTCTAGTACCGGAAATCTCAAGTATCTTCATATTCCCCCTATTATCAATTGGATGATAGATTATGTGAAAAGTATTGTTTCAGTTAAGTAAATTGAGGGAAAAGTTCCCTTTTCTCCTATTTAATTTGTATGCATTACATAAAGCTTGAGTTTGCATCTTCTAATTTTGCTTTGTGGCCTTTTGTACTATGTTTGCTTATCATGGGCTGCCTTTATTTTTTGGGCTTTCAACATTTTGTAATGTTATTCTATTTGACAATGTATAATACCTATTTTTCAAATTTAACTAATACTAACGATTCCTTTATGTTTTCCTTTTTTTTCCCTTCGGAATTCCCTTCTTGAAAACCTCTTTTAACATAATCAAGTTAAACATTCTAGCGTACGTAGGAGTGCAAACATTTATGAGTAAAATCCGGGTTGTTAAAAAAAAAAAAAATTAGGCAACAAAGAATATTTATAGCCTTGTAGCCCCTAACCATAGTTTGTAAAATACGAAATGGGTATAATATGTGAAAAATACGTACGTGCATTATTCAATAACTATGCTAAAACTTTATTAGGAAAATTCAGCCACTTATTTGAGTTTTAATATTTATTTTTTTAATTAATTCTTAAAAAAAATTGTTAACAATATGTGTTGAATACGTGAAATTTATAGGTAGTATTGAAAATTGTGTGACAATAATGTGTATTAAACATGAAAAGTACGTATATACATCTTTAACAAATTATTAAAACCTATGTGGAAAACAGAAGTATTTTTTTAAAATACATATGTATGTGTATAATATCAAATTTACTAACTATGCTGTAACCTCTCATCAATAAAACAATAAAAATTATAAAAAGCTATATTTGATGAATAATATCATTTTGAGCGGCAATATATGACAAGCATTTCATGAGTTCGTTAATTTAAAATCATCTAGAAAAAGGAGTGTATCCACCATCTAATATCACTGCACTAAGATGTGAGAATGCAAAGAAATGACCCACATGAAATTCAACCCACATCTTAGTGCATTATAAATGGTTATTGCAAATGGCAATATCCTTGCTAAATTCAACCCATAATAAATTCACATCTAATTGGCTTTTAGATCAAAGTTCAACCCATAATAAATGGTTATTGCAAATGGCAATATCCTCGCTAAATTGTCACCTAACGACCATGGTCACCTTTTTAAGAGTATTTTTTGTCAAACAAACCCTTTCATTTAATGAGAATATTAACAGATTTTTCATGAAGACATCATTGTACAGTTAGAAAGATAAGATAATTTTGCCAAATTCTTCTACTCTTCCTCATCAAAATTATTCAACATGTATGACGGCTAGAAACACTACAAGAAAAGTGACAATTAGGGGCAGGCTGTTAGAAGCGGATATAAGAATTTGCCTCTATTAATTATTATTAGGGGCGAAAATATGATTTAGCCTCTACTAATGTAATAGGGATGGATAAGAAACAGTCCCTATTAATTTTAGCAGTAATGGGGACAGAATAAATTTCCCCTAACGATTTTTTTTTTTTAATTTGAGCGGGAGATGAAATTTTGGTGGCGTCAAAGTTTTGCTAAAATCAACAAGTTTTTCGCAATTAAATTGCCTTTAACAATTTTTAAATTTTTTAGACTCAAACAAAAATTATATTCATTTAAAAATTATGTTAATAAATAAATAGTTAATTACTCTAAACCCTATAACTTTGTTTCTCTTCTTCCTGCGCCACTTAGAGGGTGTAGTCAAACTCGGATTTGAGAGGCTTTTAAAAGACTTTAAAATCCTAATGTAGTCGATTAAAAGATTTTAAAGGATTTTAGAATCCATTGAAATCTATGTGTAGTCAATTAAAGGATTTTAGAATCCATTCAAATTTAGGTGTAGTCAATTAAAAGATTTTAAAGTATTTTAAAATTCATTCAAATCTAAGTGTATTCAAAAAATTAAGATTTTGGACGATTTCAATAAGTTGTGGATTTTGTGGGATTTCAAATCCCAAGACTAAAAAGAATCTAACCTCACCCCCTAGGATTTCAAATCCTTTCACCACAATCCATTCAAATTCTTTAAAATCCATATAAATTTTGTAGGAGTTTTTAATCCTCTTAAATCCTATAAAATCTATCACTTTTAAAATTCTTTAAAATCCTAGTTTGACTACACCCTTAGTCTCTATCTCCTGATTGCGTTTTTTCCTTCTTCCTCCCTCTTCCTCCCTCTGTCGTCCCTCCTCCTTCCACCTCTCCGTACTATGAATCCCCCTTTTTTCTCTTCTTTTCTTGCTTCCTCATCATCATTTCATCTTTCTCATTCTTTCTTGCGATATTACCTTGGAAGTGTCCCAGAAGGTGAACAAGATATCGAAAGAAAGGTTTGCATTAATTCAATGGAGAGCAAAACTCATTCTTTATAGTTTCATTCAAGGTTATTTCTCCTCTAAATTTCTGTTTTGCAGGTTCGTTGGAGGGCAAAAGAGGTTGAAGCGCAGTTGGTTATAAAGTCACGAATTAATATATTTAAAGTTTTTCACAAGAAATTTTATTGTAGGGGTACATACTTTCTTATGGATTTTGCTTGTAGATTTAACTGTTTGTGGTATTGAAATTTTATTATTGTTCTATTTGTTTTATAATTGCAGTTATGATTTAGTCTAATAGTTGCTCTTTGATACATTACAGTTGCTAATTGAGAAAGAACGCAAGTTGAAATCGTTTGTCGTGCAGGGAAGTTTAGAGAAGAAACGGCTTCGAGATTTATTCTGGACAACTTCATCATAGATTAAGAACAAGAGATTGAAGAGAAGATTTATTTTCCTGGAGAAGATGAAGAGTTGGATTGTGTTTTGTAACCGATGAGAACAATGAATTGTTCAAATAAATTATTTATGAGAAGTATTATTGGCACTTTAAAAATCTCATTTTACCCTCCTTACAAGTGTATTTTTCTTTCTAAATATAAAAAGTTTGGAATGTAAAATAAGAATTTTTAAATGTCAATAATAATTCCTTTATTTATTATCCAAATAAGTAATATATTATTGATTATGTATATATTTTTTTTATTATATCGGTAGTATTTGGGGCGGAAACATTTGCCTTAAATGCTCTTTTTTTTTTTTTTTTTTTTTTTCTTTTTTTTTTTTGTGGGTATGTATGCATGTAAAGAAATTCATTAAAGTATGAAACCTTTAGTACAACCGTTTTTAATACAATCAAAATTAAAGACAGGAAGAGCAATATCAAGTAAACAGAAATCCCAATAATGAGGAGGGAAAGATTAAGGTGAGCTAAAACATCCGCAACAAAATTTGCCACCTTGAAAATGTGTTTCTAGTCAACATAACTAAAGATCGAGCCAGGATACAAATATCATTGATTATAGAGTTGACTCTTCAAAGAATCCTCCAATGACCTTGCACAACTTCAATGATGAGTTTAGAGTCCCCTTCCACCATCACTTTGGTAAAACCCTTGTGCCTAGCACATTGGAGCCTTTCTCGCAAACTTATCCCTTCTAGTAACGAAATAGTAGCGCCATCAAGGTTAAGAGCCCCCACCCCAATCACATGTGAATTACTGTTACGGAGCACAAAGGCAGCAACAGCACGGTTGTTTGAAACTGAACCATCAAAATTGAGTTTAATCACATCATGTCGGTAAGGAAGATCCCATTTAATAAAGGAAGAGATACGTAAAGCCTCCTTGGGGTCAGACTTCCCTTTAGCCTTGAGAAAAGCGGAACCAACCCTACCGGCAATAGAAACACAACGTGCCGGAGCCGGGGGCACACTTCTGAACACCAAGCTATTTCTTTCCATCCATATTTGCTAGCAGTTCAGAATTACTTTACTAATATCAGAAAGGTCGTCTTTGTCATTAGAACTTATGGATTCCATCCATTCAAAGAAATTATTATTAGTACTTATGTTACCATTATTAAAACTTCCAAAAGTTGAGCTCCAAACTTTAGTAGCAAAAACACAATTACAAAAGAGATGACATTGATCTTCTTCGGCTGTATTAAATAACGAACATAATTTATCAATATTTTTAACAAAACGAATTTCTAAGTTTGCAATCTTTCTTGAATCATAAGCCAAGCAAACACTTTAACCTTTGGAGGAATAGTTAGCTTCTATGTTTTCTTTAACAATGTAAGGCGATTACTAGAGTGATTGTTCCGATTTTGTAGCCAGGTAGCAGAATTAATGGAAAAGTTCCCATTATTGGTTAAACCCCAAATTAACTTGTTATTCGACTCCTGTAGAGGTAACGGAATGCGACAAATTTTTCTAATGTTGTCATCATCAACTACAGTAGCTAATTTAATGTTATCCCAACTATTATGAACTATAAAGTTGCGTACTTTAAGATTCCAATCAATATTATTCCTATCATTCACGAGAATTATATGAAAAAAAAGGTAGGGAAAAACGCATTGATTAGTCCAGAAGAGTATGTCTTCACCATCATCCACAATCCATCTCATTCCCTCATGGATGATGTTTCTATTAGAAAGAATTCCTTTCCAGGCGAGTAGTTTTGTTTAATCTTTGAATTTAAAAAATGGGACTTACATAAGTATTTACTTTTGACTATTTCAGCCCACCAATTTTCTTTGTTGGTTAAAACTTTCCAACCAAATTTGGCTAAACAAGCATTGGTAAAATGATCACTCTGTTTGATTCCTAAACCACCTTGATTCTTTGGAGAACAAACCTTCTCCAGGCCATTGGTCTGAGTTCAGTATTTCTCCCCCAAAAGAAATCTCTACATTCTTTATCAATTTTAGTTGTTACCCTACTAGGTCACTTAAAACAAGACATTACATGATTCAGCATTCCAGTGAGATTAGAATTAATAAGAGTTAATCTCCCGGCCTTAGAAAGGGTTTGCCATTTCCAACCGGCAAATTTTTGCTTCACCCGTTTAATTAATTCTATCTCGTTAACCGGATCCTTCTAGAAAACTATATCATGGATCCCTAAGTACTTCCCAATGCCTTTCTTTACCTTAAAGCTGGAAAATAACTCATGGGCAATTAAGATATTATCATGAATGGAACGCCCCGGAGTAAAAGCACGTTGATTAGCAGAAATGCATAGGTCAAGCAAAGGCTTAAGCCTTTCAATAATAATTTTTGTTATAATTTTATAACTAACATTACAAAGACCAATGGGTCTATAATTGGACACAGTTTCAGGATTATCCACTTTTGGGATTACGGTAATATTTGTGTGATTAATAAACCTTAGGCTTGAATTATTTTGAAAGAAATCTTTAATCATAGAAATAATAGTATCTTTAACCTCTTCCCAACAACCTTGATAAAAAGCAGCACAAAGACCATCAGGTCCAGGTGCTTTTTACACACCAATGTTATTCACTACTTCCCAAACTTCCTCATCTGAAATACATTTAAGTAGTTGCATATTATGTGTATGATCAATGCAAGGAGCTATGATATCAACCATTGTAGCCAATGTTTCCTAAGAACGGATGTTATCGCAAGAAAAACACAGTTTAAATTCCTGCACAAAAACTTGCCCTAGACCTTCCCCATAATTCCACCAGAAACCATTATATCTTTAATAGATTTTATTTCATTTCTTTTCTTACGGATAGAAGTCACCGTTTGAAAATATTTAGTATTTTTATCTCCCAATTGAAGCCACTTAACCTTAGCTTTTTGAGCCCACATAATTTCCTTTTCCTATAAAACTCTGTTAAGCTCTTTTCTAATTTTAATCTCGTCCTCCAAGCTTATAGAGTTATCTTGATCCCTTATAATTTTATTTTGAATATCATAGAGAGAGGTTAAAAGCTTATCTTTATGATCTTTGACATTACCAAAGGTCTCTTTGTTCCACTTCCTTACCAAATACTTGAATGTCCCTGCACAAGCAACAAACGTTTCTTGTGGCCTTGAAGTATTTGTACAATTCCAAGCACTTTTGACAAAATTCCTAAAATTAGGATAACGTAACCACATAGCTTCAAACTTGAAGGAATAAGAGTCTTTTCTAACAAGGTTTACATTATTTGTAAGTAAGATGGGACTATGATCCGATCCAAAGATAGGAAAATTATGTAAAGAAAAGTCATGGAACTCCCTCAACCACTAAGGATTAGCAACACCATGATCAAGTCTCTCATAAATCCTAGTGTTGTCACAATAACCATTGGTCCAGGTATAGGGAACACCGGAGGCAGTTAGGGAAATCAAGTCACCCATATTTAGAAAATTATCAAAGTTATTCAAGGAGGTAGTAGTATTAGAGAAACCCCCAAGCTTTTCAGTGGAATCCACAATATTATTGAAGTCTCCAATTAAACACCAAGGATGGTTTGTTGGTGTATGAGCTAAAATTTGATCTCAGAGATTAGCTTGTAAATGTTTCTGAGGATAAGCATAAACAAAGGTAATGAATTGCACCTTATCATTATGCAAATCTTTAACTACACAGTGGATAAAACGCGGTGAAGAGCTTAAAATAGTAATATTAATGGAAGATGAGTTCCAGAACAAACAAACCCCACCAGCTCTGCAGCTAAAAACCTGATCAAAGTGTCTACTGTAGAAATTGCTTTGGACCTGTCTAGAGAGATCTTAGTTTCAAACACGCAAAAAAGGTCCAACTTAATCAAAGTACATAGAAAATTAAAATTACTACTAAAATCAGGTCTCTCAAGACCTCTACAATTCTGTACCATGCACTTCATTGATCAATAATTTTGAGCTCTCAAAAGCAACATAATTAACAAAAAAACTCAGTTTACCTCAGAAATTCTTCGAGAATCAAAAAGGACGCACCCAGAGTAGAACACCAAGCTTGAACAAGACAAATTGACATTTCCCCAACCTAAATTAACAAAGCCAAGAAAAGCCCCAAATTTTTGAAAATCCTAACCCTAGAACTTGAAATCAGTTCGAACAAACCCATCAAAACAAAACAAGTGCTATAAAACAACCTCAAAGATTGTAGATAAACAAATAAAAAAACTAGAAATAAAGACCTAAACGGCGAAAAGAATTCGAAAAATTTACAGTGGAAAGCAGCGGTGAGAAGACGAGAATGATAGAAAGAAATTATCAATCCCCAAATTATCAAACTCAGTAGCAAACTAATTAACTCGTAAATTAGCCGAATTGGGTAGAAAATTACCTAATCTCCTGCCCTTGTCGTGTACCCACAGGAAACCCACGATTCCCAAGCTGAGCTGAGTTGACCCACAGTTCCGTCTTGTTGCCCAGCCGAGGTGGAGATGGCGATCCTTCGGAATATAAAGTCGCACACTCAATCAGACCTGAAAGAGAAAATCAGCCCGCTTTCCTCATGTTTAGTCAAGTTTCCAGTTTTCTACTATTTTTTCTCATTTGCCTTTAAATGTTTGAAAGATAAGTTCAATATTTTTAAATAAGATTTTCCAACGTGACAGATAGACCAATAGGTGCAGAAATTTGACACTATCGCCCCTAATAACAATGGCAATGCCACTTTTAGATGCGAATATATTATCCGTCATTCTTCCCTGTTAGAGGCTATTTATCATGCTATTTACCCCTAATAAATACTTTTAGATGCAAATTTGAAAAGTGTAATTAAGTTGGCTATTTCCTAGAAAATATAAAGAGTCTGTAAGTTGGTTATTCCTAGTCTTAGAATTAATTGTAACTTGCAAAGGTTGGAGCTTGCGGTAAATGAGGAGGATGATTGACTAGTGTTACACGGCAAAACTCTTTTCTGGTAAGAATCATTTGCATTCATATAGGATTTGTTTTCCCTATTAAAGATTGATTTCGTGTGGGATTCTAGAAGACTATACAAATCTGCATAGAGTTTTAAATAAGGAAGAGGTTTAAATAAGGCCAATCTCTTTGTTTATTAGGTAAAAAAGTTAACCTAGTATATATAGGGTTGTGCTGGAGGTTTTTGTAGATACCCCTTTGCACTCTAATCAAAATCGTGAGATTGTTTTATATGATTAAGGGGGAGAGACAAAAGGCTACTAGGTTCTTAGATTTATATAGGTAATAGTCTGTGAGCATAACTCATCATTCATTTATCATGGAACTTTTTGTAAGCTTTGCCTGTGAGGAAGATCATCAACCTGCGTGAATCTGTTTTCATCCAAGAGAAGGTGAAGAGGGCGTGTTCTACAAGACAAGAGCATTTGATCAAGTTTCTGTTGTGGTGTAATAAAGTATCATATTAGTCTTGTATAAGTCCTTAAAGTTTTTTTAGTGAAATTGGCTGTGCCTTGAGGTTGTTCTCTCCTGTGTGGAGGGTTTTTTTCCTCGTGCGAGATTTCGTACAAATACTTTGACTTTGTTTATTTTTCTCAGTTTGTTGTGTTTTGATCTTTGTTGTGAAGAACCAGGATTGATTCATCCAGGTTTACAATTTCATTTGGTATCAAAGCGGTTCTCTAAACTTATTTAGAGTGATCCTAGGGACTACTGTGATGGATCGAGCAGCTGGATCAATCTCACATCCACCATACTTTGATGGTGAGAACTATGGTGCTTAGAAAGCAAAGATGAAGGTGTTTCTTTGGTCACTAGATGCTTGTGTTTGGAACATTGTAGTTTTTGGTTACTCCCCTCCAACCAAAACTATAATACACAAATCAAAGAAAATATATGAAGAAGGGAAGGCAGATAGTGATGTTGTCGTTGAGGAAGTTGTTCTCAAACCTCATGAAGAATGGACACTGGCTGATAAAACTCACTCCATGAATAATCAAAAAAGGGTTAAATGCTATATTTACTGCCTTGTCTCCTGATCAGTTTTCTAATATTTTAAATTGTGAGACT